GAGACTTTACAAAAATTGAGCATGTTGTAGGCTATCATGCAAGTCTCAACAAGTACCAGAGAATTCATTTCTTCCAGACCCTCTTCTCTGATCAAAATGTAAAATCAAAATCTATAAAAAAGTCCTACATTTGGAAATCTCAAGTCTGAGAATTATCAAATATGTAAAACAGAATAACAATAAAAAATGTTCTTTTTTTATTATTATGTTCAGTTAGCCAGCATATAGTACATAATTAGTTTTTGATGTAATATTCAATGATTCAGTAGTTGCATATAACACACAATAAAAATGTTCTGATTGAAAACCTATGGGGTGTAGCGAAAGGGATATGTGGAGAGTTTTATAGCCTTAAATGCATATGTTAGAAAAGAATAAACATTAAAAGTAAATGGGCTTTACTTTTTTAAATTTATTTTTTATTGTTTTTTTTTTTTTTAAAGATTTTATTTATTTATTTGACAGAGACAGAGATAGCGAGAGCAGGAACACAAGCAGCGGGAGTGGGAGAGGGAGAGCAGGCTTCCCGCTGAGGAGGGAGCCCGATGTGGGACTCGATCCCAGGACCCTGGGATCATGACCTGAGCCGAAGGCAGACGCTTAATGACTGAGCCACCCAGGTGCCCTAAATTTATTTTTTAAAAGTTACTAAAAACTATAGAAAACCCTAGAGATTCTGCAAAAAAAAAAAAAAAAGAGAGAAAACTACTAGAACTGATAAATGAATTCAGTAAAGTTGCAGGATACAAAATTATATACAGAAATCTGTTGCATTTCTATATAATAATAATGAAGTAGCAGAATGAGAAATTAAGAAATAGTCCCATTTACAATGGCACCAAAAAAATAAAATATCTAGGAATAAACCTGACCAAGGAGGTGAAAGTCCTGCACTCTGAAAACTATAAGATGAAAGAAACTGAAAATGACACAAATGCAAAAATATTCCATGCTCATGGATTGGAAGAAACAATATTGTTAAAATGTGCATACTTCCCAAAGAAATCTACAGGTCTAATGTAATTCCTATCAAAATATCAATGACATTTTTCACAGAACTGGAACAAATAATGCTAAAATTTGTATGGAACCATAAAAGACCCCAAGTAACCAAAGCAATCTTGCAAAGCTAGAGGTATCACAATCAGAGATTCCAGGATACGCTACAAAACTGTTGTCATCAAAACAGTATGGTACTGGCACAAAAACAGACATCTAGATCAATGGAACAGATAGAAATCCCAGAAATAAACCCATGCTTATATGGTCAATTAATCTACAACAAAGAGGCAAGAATATGCAATGGGGAAGAGACAATCTCTTCAATAAATGGTGCTGGGAAAACTGGACAGCTACAAGCAAAAGAATGAAACTGGACAAGCACACACAAAAATAAACTCAAAATGGATTAAAAACATAAATATGAGACCTGAAACTATAAAATACTGAGAAGAGAGCATAGGTAGTAATTTCTTTGACATTGGCCTTAGAAACATTTTTCTAGATATGTCTCCTCAGGCAAGGGAACCAAAATCAAAATTAAACTATTGGAACTACACCAAAATAAAACCCTTCTACACAGCAAAGGAAATCATCAATAAAACAAAAAGGCAACCTACTGAGTGGGAAAAGATATTTGCAAATGATATATCTGATAAGGGGTTAATATCCAAAGTACATTAAAAAACTTAACAACTCAACACCCCCAAAAAACAAATAATCTGATTAAAATGGGCAGAAACCTGAATAGACATTTCTCTAAAGAATGCATATAGATGGCCAACAGATCCATGAAAAGAGGCTCAACATCACTATTCAGGAGAATGCAAATCAAAACCACAATGAGATATCAATCACCTCACACTTGTCAGAATGGCTAGAATCAAAAAGACAAGAAATAACAAGTGCTGGTGAGGATGTAGAGAAGAATGAACCCTTATGAGCATTTTTGGGGGGAATGCAAACTGGAGCAGCCACAGTGGAAAAAAGTATAAAAGTTTCCTCAAAAACATAACATAATAAAAGAAAACTTAAAAATGGAAATACCATATGATCCAGTAATTCCACTAGTGGATATTTGCCCAAAGAAAACAAAAACACTAATTCAAAAAGCTATATGCACCCCTATGTTTGTTGCAGCATTATTTATGATAGCCAAGATATGGAAGCAGCCCAAGTGTCCACTGATAGAGGACTGGATAAAGAAGAAGTGGTGTATTCATACAATGGAGTCTTACCCAGCCATAAAAAAGAATGAGATCTTGCCATCTGTAACAACATAGATGGAACTCGAAGGTGTAATGGTGAGTGAAATAAGTCAGAGAAAAACAAATACCATATGATTTCACTTATATGTAGCATTTAAGAAACAAAGAAAAAAGAGATAAACAAAAAACAGACTCTTAACTATAGAGAACACACTGATGGTTACCAGAGGGCAGGTGGGTGGGGGGATGGGTGAAATAGATGATGGGGATTAAGGGTGCACTTACCATGATGAGCACTGAATAATGTATAGAATTGTTGAATCACTGTGTTGTACACCTGAAACATAATACTGTGGTTTTTTTATTATTATGTTATGTTAATCACCATACATTACATCATTAGTTTTTGATGTAGTGTTCCATGATTCATTGTTTATGCATAACACCCAGTGCTCCATGCAGAACATGCCCTCTTTAATACCCATCACCAGGCTAACCCATCCCCCCACCCCCCTCCCCTCTAGAACCCTCAGTTTGTTTTAATTACACTTCAAGAAAAGAAAAGAAAAGAAAAAAGAACAGAGCAAACTCAAAACCAGTAGAAGGAAAAAGTAATAAAGGTAAGACTGAACGTTATTGGAATGGAAAATAAATAAGCAATGTAGACAATCAACCAAATGCTAGTCCTTCATTTAAATTAACAAAATAAATAAAGCTCAGAACTTACTGATCAAAGGGCAAAAAACTTAAGGTCATATAGGCAATATTTGGAAAGAAAAGGGGACATGATATAAATATAGCAGAGGTCTTAGAGTCATGAGAGAAATCTGTAAACCATTTTATGCCAACATACTTGAAAATCTAAACAAAAAATAGATAATTTCCTAGGCTTCAAAGTCAGAACAGTATATATAATAACATTTTAAAATAAGAGAGCAAGGGAAGAAGAGGAAACAGAAAAAGACAGAGGAGGTAGGGGGAGAAAGGGGGAAAGGGAGAGAGAATGGTACATAAAGATAACTCTGAGTAGTGGAATACAGGTAATTCTGATATTTTTCCTTTCTGCTTACCTGTGTCCTGGTTAATTTACTCCCATGCCTAATGTGTCAGGCAAGGGCAACTCCGATCTATGCAACCATTGTTCACCATTTAGGCCATGGATTTTGAGAATTTGCCTCTGGTCAGGTGGGCCATGGAGGCCCCTGGAAAGAGATTGCCAAGGTGTACAGAACACCATGTGACCTTTACAAAGAGAACGAAGGAGGGCTGTGCTTCTTGTCTGGTCTCATCCTTTCATTCATTCAGGCATGTGCTGGATTCTTGGGAATTATGCTGGGTGTGGGAACATGATGGGGGATCAGGAAGATTGCTTATGGGGATGATGAATGCATGAGTGTTGATCATGGTATATACCGTGTATATGGTATATATCGTGATACAGGCCTGACTAGTTCACCCGTTAGCTGTGGGAATGCAGAGCAAGGAGCCACTAGCTCTAGGCTCTGGAAAGAAAGAGGGGTCCCAAGGAAGCCTGGATGTGCAGAGATGGGACAGCATCATGGCCTGTGGCAGGGCCCGGGGAGGGAGCCTAGAGGCAGAGATGGCTGAGGACTTGAACCCCATCTTCCCATTGTCTTCTCTACCGTGTGTCTCTTATAAGGACACTTGTCATTGGAATCAGGGCCGTCAGGTTAATCCAGGATGATCACACCTCAAGATCCTTAACTTATGACATCCCTAAACACCCTTTCTCCCAAATAAAGAAGCATTTCAGGCTGTGGTGCTGAGGGCATGGACACACATTTTGGGGGCCACCGTTCATCCCACTGCAGGGACTGACTGACAAATTTAATTACAGAAAAATGAAGCACTTCTAAATAATGAATGACACCACCAGCCAAGTTGAAAAGACAAGTGCAAACTGGGAGAAAGTATTTGCCGTATACATCATAGATTGGTCTGGGATGAATTGCATAGTCACAAACTGGGCATGGAAAAAAATAAATTATTTTGCTGTTACTGTTTGTGAGTGTCCATTTTTGTAGCAGGAAAACCATCTCAAACTTGCCAGGTCAGAGTAACTTGGTTACTTCCAGTCAGTTTTTCCCTAGGAAACTCAGCCTCTTTGGGGTATCCTTGTCTCTCAGGGTCCGCATTCCTTCTCCCTGAGTGGAGAGAGAAGCACATGCATGTGGTGTTGTGCATTAATATAGCTGGCCATGTGCCCAGTATGACCATGAGCTCTTTGGAAGAAAGGATTGTCTTTGATCCAGTTCTGAATCACTAGTGCTTGGGATTTGCCCATCACCCAGAGAATCTTTATTGCCTTACATTGATCTGAAAGCTTTTAAAATCCCTGGGTGCTTTCATTTCGGGGCATGTTAAATAGGACCAGGGCCGCATTTATCCTATTCCCTGCAGGGCTGTTGCGGGGATTAATGTTTGAGCATAGATGATCTCCTGCTCCTTTAAAAAGGCATTAATTAAGTTAAAGGTTTTATTTTTCAAGGATGTGCTTAGTTTTTATAATAGTTTGTATCTCAATATATTGTCTGAAATATAATAAGGCTCATGTGCTTTCTCATAGAGAACAAGACATGCAGAAATGCACAAAAATTAATCCACCATTAGGGTTCCTCTCTGGATGTCATGTCAAGTAATTGGTGTTTCGGAGTTCATCATTTTGTGGGGAGATCCTCCATGGTGGCTTGGCCTGTGGGAGGCCCCGGGCGGGTGCTTTATGGAGAGAGCATCCTGACCGGATGTGCTATTTCTCTTCTCCCGGTTGCCCAGTGAGATGAAGCAGAAGCTGGCGGAGGAAGGCAGCAAGTGTAGCATCCTCTCGAAGCACCAGAAGTTCGTGGAGCACTGCTGCATGCGCTGCTGCTCACCCTTCACCTTCCTGGTCAACACCAAGCGCAGGTGTGCCGACTGCAAGTTCAATGTCTGCAAGAGCTGCTGCTCCTACCAGAAGCGGGAGAAGGTGTGGATCTGCTGTGTCTGCCAGCAAGCCAGGTGAGTGGCCAAGTGGACTTAAGGTGTCCGCTGGTGGCATGGTCTTCCTTTAGCCAGGTAGGAGCAGCAGATGTTGACTGGTCAGCACAGAGGACTGACCACAGTAAAGAGATTGCCAAGGTGTACAGAACACCATGTGACCTTTACAAAGAGAACGAAGGAGGGCTGTGCTTCTTGTCTGGTCTCATCCTTTCATTCATTCAGGCATGTGCTGGATTCTTGGGAATTATGCTGGGTGTGGGAACATGATGGGGGATCAGGAAGATTGCTTATGGGGATGATGAATGCATGAGTGTTGATCATGGTATATACCGTGTATATGGTATATATCGTGATACAGGCCTGACTAGTTCACCCGTTAGCTGTGGGAATGCAGAGCAAGGAGCCACTAGCTCTAGGGTTTGGAAAAAGCTTCACAGAGAACAAGAAATAAAGGCAGGATGGTAAAAGATGAAAAAGAATTACTAACGTGAAAGGGAGTGGGGATGGTGGTCTCCACGTGAAGGAAATGGCTAGCGTGGAGTCTCACGGAGATGTGTGTTTTTATTCTCCCTCAGTGACTGCCAGAGTATTTCTCTGATACACTGAGTATTTGGAAACTGATAAGTTTGATAAGCCAGTGTCTGGTGTTTGTTGCTTGGAATTCTTAAATCATTGCTGATCCTAGCATCTGCAAAACACATTCATATTCATTGCATCCTGCCATAATGCCTCTCACTGTGAGCAAGACAGAGATTGGCTGTTCCCAAGAACACACACAGGAGCTCCTGCCTCCCTCATCTTCTCCTTCTTTCCTCCTGCCTTGTTTGTTCATTTATATCCTTTAACTTATCAAGCCCCAGCATTTTCCCATAAAGCTAGTTAATGGAGATGGCTGCTAAGCTCTCTTGGGATCCCCAGGGGCTCAGTCTCTGAGCTATAAAGAGAAACCAGTGGAAGCAAACGTGGTTTGTTGAGCACCCTTTGTCCAGGATGGGGTGCTGGCCAGGTTCTGCATATGACTTTCAGAGCAAGGAACCTATCCGAGTCCCCATATACCAGCTTGGTAGGAGGAGGAGAAGCCCTGTGGCACCAAAGGGAAGGAGGAGACTTTAATTGTAGGTGAGCCTGTGCTTGGGAGTGGATGATGCAACCAGGTTCATCCTGTGTCGTGTCTTCCCTTTCTCATTAAAGTTGGGTTAAGGTCAAGTGCTTAACAAGAGAGTTGGAAGAGATTATGTGCAATAGACATTACAGAAGTTGGAGACCCAGGCTTTTGAGCTGGATTATAATCATCGATCTGTATACTTCCGACCGCCCATTATGCATTTTGCTCCAGCCACACTCAACCTCACATATGCGGACATGAGGAAAGCAGACCGTCAGGTTCTTCCTGGGTTGGAGAGGCTTTCAGAGGGTTGGGACAGACGCAAGGTTAATGGAGTATAAGATATTTAAAATGTAGAAATTAAAATGATAGATTAATGTAGATAGCAAAGGAAAGAAAGACAAAAAGGAGCTGTAGATGATGGAAAGAAAACGGAGAGGTCAGTCAGCTAGAAGTACTTGGTAAAATTGAAGAACTATCACTTAGCAGAGAAAGTTGTGCGTAGGGGAAAACATGTTTGAAGTAGTGGTTTCCGAGGTGGATCCATTGGGTGGTGAACATGGGCATAGGTGGCTGAGGTCTAGCTGAGGAAGGCATGGGACTAAAAGGCAAGTGCACATGGATTCCGAAGTGACAGTTTTGATGGCAGAAGTTTGGAGGGGGAGACTAATCCAGGTGACACAGTTTTCTTGAGTGAGGAGGAGGAACAAGCAGGCCAAGAGGTAACAGAAATAAGGAGTGGAAGAGCATGGTGTGGCTGAATGTCACCATTGTGCACCCAGCAAGCTGGGTGGGTCTTACACAGCGTTTGACTCAAACATCTGCTATGGCACCCATGTTAGTGACCAAACTAATCCGTGGTGAATGCCTCTGGAACAGGGACCCTCCCTGTCTTCTTCAACTCCCATTTGCAGCACGAGAGCCTGGCAGGTGGAAGACACACAGATCTTTGTTATGTTGGGTAACAGAACAGGACAATGTTCCAAAGCAGCCAAATGCATGGTACAAATGAGGCTTCAGGAATTTTAAAGAGAAAAGGATCCAGAGAGTGTAGGGTATCCTAACGAGGTTTTCTGGAAGACAAGGGGACCCCAGATGGAACTCCAGTTGGGAAGAGGAATCACAGAGCATTCTTGGACAAGGTATGTCAAGAGCAGAAAAGATCCCCCAAGATGTGTGGAGGGCCTGGAACAGTATATTTTAAATTTCTATTTCACATTTCTAGCCACCTAATGAGGAGGCAGGAGGCTTTGGTAATCCCATTGAATCTTGCATCATTTCCATGTCAGCATTTCATGACAACTCCCTGAGTCCCGGAAGGGCATCAGAAAATAAAAAATCATCCATAGAAGGATACCTTGAAAGATATCTGAAAAACTCATGTACATTTGCTCTGTCAGTTTTTTAAAGAAAGGGGGGGATTACTGAGAAGTCATCCACATTCAGTGTGTCTAGCACAGAGAGAACGCACTCATGCTTATTTAATGAAAGTTGGCAGAAGGACAGTCCTGAAGAGAAGTTGGGAATTTTGCTGTTTCATCTTGTATGATGTCATGTGGGGACATTTCTGGGAGTCTTGGGATTGTAATAATATTGATGGAAAAGTGGAGCTTATTCCCTATTTTATTCAAGTTCATCATAGGAACATATCTAGGGAAAAAATCCATGATACATGTGGCAGGTTTTTGCTTCTAGAAATTTCTCTAAGGCCCAATTTGATAGAGAAGTATGTCCGGACCAGAGCACCTCAACTGTATGACCTGTGGGTTGACAGTCTTGTATATTTTGGAGGATGCATCAGAAGAGTTTGTTTTACTTACGTAGTCAAGCTGTGTAACTCCTTAGAACTACACAACAGACACAGCCAGATTCATCATGTGAAGCGTTTAAGGACTACTTTGACTTGGATCATGTATGAAAAATTTCTGATTGATAACAGCTTGTAAAGCCTGTCAAGTTTCTTTAATCAGAAAAAAAAAGGTTTACAACAGATTGTTTAGACTTTAAATACACATTTTTACCTGGCAAAAGCCAGTGTCATGCTGGAATATGGCTTTGTGGGCACTATGCCACCATCCACATTGTTCATCAGTTTCTCTGCTCCTGGTGCAATCTGAGATTCACCTCTGGGTTTAGAGGTGATTAATTTTATTGTGGATATTTGTCCAGTAGATTCATATTCAAACAGTTGGGTTTAAAACCACTGTATATGTCAGAATCTATGAAGAACCCATTGTGTGTGTGTGAGCTTGTGAAATCTCAGTGAAATGCTTTATAGCAGCTCTATGAAGTTGCAGAGGTGACCACTTTTGTGAGGCCACATTCAGACCCATATTTCACTGCCCACTAGCCACGATGTACTTTTCCTTTTCTATATAAATTAGTTCCATTTGTACTGTACTGATTTAGTTTCAAGCTGTTTGTCCAGTGGCAACCATATGCCTGTGGAGCCAAGAATAATTATAATAATAAGAATTCTTGTCCACAAAAAATTAAGGAGTTAGGAGTTGAGTGAGGGTAGACATTCATGGAAAAATATTAACAAATTGCATCAGAAATAAATGACTGTCAGGCACCTGGGCCTGTCTATGGTGTAGTTCTAAATGAGCAGCTTGGGTTAGAAATGTAGGGTTCATGAGAGATGATGGACTCTGAAAAACTAACAGGGTTCTAGAGGGAAGGGGGGTGGGAGGATGGGTTAGCCTGGTGGTGGGTATTGAGGAGGGCACATTCTGCATGGAGCACTGGGTGTTATGCACAAACAATGAATCATGGAACACTTTATCTAAAACTAATGATGTAATGTATGGGGATTAACATAAGAATAAAAAAAAAAGAAATGTAGGGTTCACCAGGGAGGGCCCAGATAGTGTCTAGTCTCTGTAAAAATGGGGAAATCTGTAAATTCAGCTTTTTTCTTTTTTGTTTCATGTCCTAGTCTTCTGTTTGGTTATTTATTACAGTAAAAGTATTTTAATTTTAAATGAAAATTCCCTTTTAATGGTCATTGCTGTAATTATGATCAGCGGGTTAGTTCATCATTCATTCTTTTGCTTCATATGTTTTCCGTTAAAAGCTATTTTTGTGAGGCATCTGGGTGGCTCAGTTGATTAAACATCTGACTCTTGGTTTCAGCCCAGGTCATGATCTCAGGATCTTGAGATCAAGCCCCATGTGGGGCTCCATGCTCAGCATGGAGTCTGCTTGTTCCTCTCCCTCTCCCTCTGCCCTCCTCCTCTGTCCCCTGCCTCCCTGTGTGCATGCACGAGCATGCACGTACACACGCACACACACTCTTCCAAATAAATAAATAAAATCTTTAAAAAAACTATTTTTGTTGTCAGTTTAGAATTTTAACTTTGGGAAATTAACAAACATTAGATGAATTTATTAGAGAATGAATGCTGGATTACTAATTTTGGAGGTTATATAGCCAATAGGATACTACTGAATCATTCCCTTTGTCATATATATGAGAAATATATATGTATATATATTTATACATTTATTATATATATATATATATTTATCTCCTAGGCAATTTATTGTATAGATTCATTCAGACATTATAAATAAGCATGTATAGTAGTTACATTTTAAGATCTTCTGCAGGAAACAAACTTGCAGAGTGAGTCCAGACCTTACTTATCAGCCATTGTCATTTGGGGTCAAATTGATTCAAGAACAACGATCTTTTCTTGGGAACAAATTGGCTTCCTAGTTCTCTGCTTCATTATAAAAATTGTTCTCTCTGATTTTTTTCACTATCTTTAACACAGACCAATTTGGGAGATTGTTGTCAGGGAATGAGAAAAAAAAATTATCTTGGAATCAAAATCAAACACATCTCATTATGCCTATGTCATTTGCTTTGGTTTTTCTGAGACAACTTAAGCCTTCATTTCTTTTCACTTGGAGTTGAATA